GCTAGTGATGTGCAGGCTTGGGCTTCAAGCCAGAAGCCCGTGGTACCAAGCCATGGTTTCACAAGCCAAGCCAAGCCAAATTTCTGGCTTGGGTGGGCTTGGGCTTCTGGCTTCAAATTTTCAAGCCCAAGTCAGGCCATGAAGCCAGGGCTTGAAATTGATGGCATTGATGGGTGCCAAAATCGCTCCTGCCAGTCCCATTTCACATATTCTCACTTGCAAGAAGGACAAACTCCCATATCACGTCGGGTTCAACAGTTTTCTGGTCAATCTTGGATGATTGAAAACAAACACTGGATGGACAGCTCGGTTTTGCCTTTCCTAGGCATTCGTGTGCAGTTATGGGAGCTCTACAGGGGAATACATACAGTTTGCGCTTTGCATCGCCATATTTGTAGGCAACTTGTGTTGAAAACAGATACAATAAGTGAGATCAACACTACTTGAACCGTGGGAAAGCAATCTGCCGAAGCCATGCAAGCGTAGATCACCTACGTCCACCTTGACAAAGATCAATAAAAGTGCACGTAGCTTTGCGTAGGTGCACCTAACTGATTTGAACTGGGTATATTTAGATCGATGTAGGTCGGCGTAGGTGCTACAGCTCACCTACGCCCACTTTTATTGACCTTAAGCCAAATAGTACAGTACAGTTGTAATTGGATATACTGCTAGGCTACTGCCCTCAGCATAGGTCACTATGTAGACCTACATTCACCTACATTCACCTTGCATAGGTTACTACGTCGACCTACATTCGCCTACATTCACCTTAGCTGACCTTGACTAACCTTGACTAACCTATGCGGACCTACACAGACCTACATCCACCTATGCAGAATGTACATAGGTGAGTCTTAGTGTAGGTCCATGTAGGTCCATGTAGGCCCCTGAACTCAGGCTGAGCCTAGGAGGTCCTTGAATGCAGTGATGGCTCAGGCCAGAAGCCCTGGCTTGGCTTCGAAGGCTTGTGGCTTTGGCTCTGGCTTCAATATCAACGAGCCCAAGCCCGGTCAAGCCAAGCCCAAGCCCTGGTTTCCGGGCCAAGCCAAGCCCGCACATCACTAAGATTCGAGGCATCCGATCTGCGCAAGAAAGGTAGAAGGCAGAAGACGGACCTACACTCCGGCAAACCACGTCTCCTGCTCGTCGTCGTCGTCGCTGTGTGAGCCGCTCATTGTGCGTCGTTGGCGGCGGGTGGTGGTGGTTTGGTGGTGGTAAGCGGCGGAAGAGTGGCACACGTCACGGTTGCCAAACAAGTGTAATGTTGGGCACTGCCGCCCCCTGTTGGAGTTTGACTTTGGTACAACTTGGCGGTGGGAGTGCGGGTGGCATCGAATTCCTTCCAGTCAGTTTATTCTTGCTCGTGATTTTCCTTCACATCTCTCTGTGGTTTGTTTCAACTATAACCTCCGATAAGATGAGAGCAAGTACTGGGAAGTAACGTTCAAATATTTGCCCCTGATGCCGGAGCCCGTGAACTCCTCCACAATTCAGGCGCAACTCATGCGTGCACGCCTGCGAAGAATCCAGTCCCTCTCATAACCGGGGCAAATAAAATGCACTCGATACCACGCCATGCAGCCGGGAGGATTCGAACCTCCGACTTCCTCTGATCCTGGAATAAGCTAAGCTCAAACGCCGTACGGAAAGAGGATGACCGCCGTAGTGTACAGCCGCTTCTGTTTATCTATAAATCACTTCAAACCTCTTGGTCCGAGTCACGACCGATTTCAACGCGATACTTAATACCCTGTGGCGCCCCAAATATTCGAGGCTAGATAGCTTCGCGCTCGATCTCGATGCACCGGGTAAGAGTATGCTCCCACGAGAATTCTGCATCATACAAAGAAAAGCGGAGGCAAGAAACGCCGCCGGGAGGATTCGAACCTCCGATTCCCTCTCGCACATTTCGATTCTGTTATATCATGGGAGGGCGACCACCACGGTCTACGGCGGCTTGAGTGTGGGAGGGAGGGAGGCTGATAGCTACATGCCTTCAGAAATGACTGGCACTACTTAACACACAGTAGTAAGTACGACTGTTTGAATATCCGAGTCTGAACTTCCGCTGAAGGGAGACGACTCTTGCCTTGATCAATCAATCAATAACGGCGGTTCATTATCTTTCAAGTATCCTTGTGGGCAGTAAAAACAAAACTTTCGCCTCCTTCTCATACAGGGCCGGGAGGAATCGAACCTCCGCCTCCCTCTTTACGCCTGACGCAGTCCTCGTGGTCTAACTTGGCGGGTAAGGTGATGGCAATGGCAAGTAACTTATGGTAGGGATCCCCACCGTACCGTATACGGTTACGGTCGTAAAGATTACGGGGCTTTACGGGCAGAGGTCGGCCCGTAACCGTCACCGGAAAGAGTTCTTCCGAGGGTCTTACGGTACGGTACCGTATATTTTACGGTAGTTTACGGTCATTACGACCGTAAATCGATTTTAGATGCCAAAGAAAATTCAAACAGCTTCTTAGTGAGTGAGAACTTGCTGAGAACAGTTGAGCCCCAAGTATTTGAGGCAATTTTGCCTCAAGCCCGATGCGCAGTATGCGCGAGCCACTAACATTTTGCATCATACAAAAAGGTATACCCAAGAGACGGATATACGCCGCCGGGAGGAGTCGAACCTCCTACTCCCTCTTACACGCCTAGCGTACTTAGCTAGAAAATTACATCGTGGGAGGGCGACCACCACGGTCCACGGCGGCTCGAGTATAACCGTACGGGGATTGACGGCTGCACATATTTGGCAAGTGCGACCTACGACATTGGAACTTCCTCGGAGCTTCGATCGAATAAACTTATGCCTCGGCCTCAAAATCGGAAAAAAAAAGCCAGTGGAAGTACGTACCGGAATCCTCGCATCCTGCGGCGTGCAAAAACGAAAGATCGGGGACAAATTATACCGCCGGGAGGAGTCGAACCTCCGACTCCCTCTTGTACGCCCAGATTCGTCACAGAACATCATACGAGGGCGACCACCACGGTACACGGGGGCTTGAGTAGAGGAGTAACGGGGTTGATAGTTATATGCCTTCAGAAATGAGTCGATTTACTTTGCGCATAGTATGACTGTTTGAACATTTGCAATTGAACTTCCTCTCTAAGTTTACCTTGGCAGCAATACTGTTCAAATATTGAATAGGCCGTTCAAGCGCAACAGCACCTTTTCATTTGTGGAAAAAAAAATGCTATTCTCAGAATATGGCCGAATGCAACTGGGAGGAATCGAACCTCCGCCTCCCTCTTTACGCCTGACGAAATGCTCGTGGAGAGAGGGCGACCACCATAGTTCACAACCGCTTTCCCTGAACGTCTCTTCGAGAAAAAGGAAAACCACCAATCCATGCTGCCGGGAAATTAGCATCGATCGCAAAACGGTGCTTTAATCTTATTCGTTCCAAGTCAAGGACCGATTTCAACCCTCGCCCCAAACATCTGAAGCAAGATAGCTTCGAGGTCGATGCACCAGGTACATAGAAGTATGTGCAAACAAACCATTAAAATTCTGCGTCATCCAAAAAAGCAGATGGAATTTGGATGGAATGCTATGCCACCGGGAGGATTCGAACCTCCGACGTCCTCTTGCATGTTATTGCTGTGCATTATATCATGGGAGGGTGACCACCACGGTCTACGACGGCTTGCATATAGCAAGAAAGGGGTCTAATAACGGCACGCCTCTGGTAAGTGGCCGACACGTAAACATTTGAACTTCCTCTGAGCTTGGAGACAGCTTCGATCGAATAAAATAACTTGAGCTCAACATTGGAAAAAACGCCAGTGGAAGTACGTACCGGAATCCTCGCATCCCGCGGGGTGCAAAAAGCTATTTGGGGAGAATTACACCGCCGGGAGGAATCGAACCTCCGACTCCCTCTTGCAGTCGTTAGGAAGGAAACGTAGGAGGGCAACCACCGCGGTCTACGACGGCTTGAATATGCATGAAAGACGACTCATGACTGTATGCCCTTGAGTATAGCAGAAAAGGCGGCTCATAACTGCACACCTTTGGCAAGTGGCCGACACGTAAACATTTGAACTTCCTCTGAACCGCAAACATTTGAACTTCCCCTGAACTTGGGCAATGAGGACAGCGTCGATCGAGTAAAATACCTCGGCCTCACACTCGGAGACATTGGTCAATGGAAATATTTATAGGGATCCGCGCATCCCGCGCGGTGCAAAAAAATAATTCTGGGACAAGCTGCACCGCTGGGAGGAATCAAACCGCCGCCTCCCTCTTACACGCAGATTCTGGATATTATATCATGGGGGGGGCGACCCCCACGGTCTACGACGGCTTGGACATGCATGAAAGAGGCCTCATAAGTGCACACCTTTAGCAAGTGGACTGTGGGCCCCCCCGCAAATATTTGAATTTCGGGCAATGGGGCCAGCGTCGATAATAAAGTACCTCGACCTCAAAATCGGAAAGAAAACCAATGGAAGTACGTACGGGAATCCACGCATCCCGCGGGGTGTAAAAAGAAATTCTGGGACCGGCTACACCGTCGGGAGGAATCGAACCTCCGACTCCCTCTTGCACGCTATTGTGGGGCATTATATCATGGGCGGGCGACCACCACGGGCTACGACGGCTTGAGTGGAGCAGTACGGGGGCTAATATATAATAGCTGGATGCCGTCAGAAATGACTCGGACGACTTAACGCGTAGTACTAGTATGACTGTTTGAACATTGAACTTCCGCTAACTTCCGCCGAAGGAGGAGCCGGTTCAACATCGTTCAAATATTGGGGCAGTCCATAGCTTTTCATTTGTAGCAAGAAGGAAGAAAAAGAGTTCATCGCTTTACGCCTCCCTCTGACGAAATCCCGTTGACAGGTTAGGATTATAATTATAATGGGGAGAAGGCGACCACCATGGTCCACAACCGCGTTCTCTAACTGCACATTCGTCAGTGAGACCGGCAATTTAACGCCCTTTGAGGACACCTGTGGTCAAATAAAATAGATAGAACTCCAGATTAAGCGGCCGGGAGGATTCGAACCTCCAACAACTTACTCTAAATTAGAGTTCACGCGCTCAAATAACACAGAGAGGGGATGACCGCCATGGTCCACGGCCGCTTCTATTTGTACCGTCGCGTGGATAGAGACATGCGGGTCGACAAATCACTTCAATACTCTTGGTCCGAGTCAACGACCGATTCAACGCGATACTTAATACCGGACTGCGCCCCAAGTATTCGACCCCGATGCGCCAGGGAGGAGTATGCTCCCACTAAAATTCTGCTCAAAAAGGTACGTGGAATGATGCAAGACACGCTGCCGGGAGGATTCGAACCTCCGACCTCACAGATTTCCAATCATGATCATATGAGGGTGACCACCACGGTCTACGACGGCTTCGGTGTAGCAGTACGGGGATTGATAGCTGCACACGTTTGGCAAGTGGTCGACCCGCAAACATTATTTGAACTTCCCCTGAACCGCAAACATTTGAGCTTCACCTGAACTTGGGCAATGAGGACAGCTTTGAAGTTCGATCGAATAAAATACGTGGACCTACGCTCGGAGAGATTGGCTAGTGGAAGCACGTACGGGGATCCATGCATCCCGCGGCGTGCAAAAAAGAAATCACGGCGATATTACACCGCCGGGAGGAGTCGAACCTCCGCTTCCCTCTTGACACTGATTCTGATTTTCTGAATATCATATCACAGAAGAGCGACCACGGTCTAGTCTCTCCTAGACAGACACTTCAACAAGTGAGCTCGTTCCTCGCTCTGTTGAAGTCTGTTAGTAACCGCGGTGGTCCGATCAGGGTATCCGCTTATTACAAATCTTCGGAGTTTGAATTTTAGGAGAATTTTAGCAGCGTTGAATGAAAATCATCGTTTCCATTCCAAGACCCATCAAAGGTGGTTGCCTAGCGAGTGTAAACCTCCCCAAATTTTCGTTGGAGTTTAGAAGCCCAGCTTGTTGAGTTGGATAGAATTTATCTTGTAGCTGACCAATCTGACCCTATTTCTCAGGGACCAGTGTTCGCTCCTCACGGTTGCTGCCAAAAAAATCTAAGGAGGCAGAAATACTCTAATAGCATGTAAAAGGCCTCTACACTACTTTGGGACCATATGTCGCGTTTTTCATCAGTCGCGCGCCGCGTCAAAAATTCAAACTCCGAAGATTTGTAATAAGCGGATACCCTGATCGGACCACCGCGGTAAACTCCGGACTAACCACGGTCTACGACGGCCTGAATGTAGCAGTACGGGAATTGATAGCTGCGTGCCTTCAGAAATGACTCGGGCTACTTAACGCATAGTATGTATGCCTGCAAATATTTGAACTTCCGCTGAACCTCCTCTGAAGGCTTGGCAGCAACACTGTTGGAATATTAGGCCCGTTCAAGCGCAACAGCGCTTTTTTCATTTGTGGGAAAAGACATGCGACTCTCGGCGCAATGCAACTGGGAGGATTTGAACCTCCGACTTCTTCCTCCGAATCCAAGAAACTACGAAATACAGAGAGAGGATGACCGCCATGGTCTACGCCGCATCTGCTATATCTTCTCGTGGATGCACACATGGCCATGAAGGGATCATCAATATATGTGTATCAACCGCGGTTCAACGATGAATTAGGAACGTACCGCACACTCCCAATAATTGAGGTAAAGGAAGGCGGGTCTCCACGTCGTGGGGTAAACCACAAGAGTCCTGTATCATCTAAAAATCTCTGCAGCCGCCTCACGCCGCCGGGAAGAATCGAACCTCCGACTCCCTCTTGAACGCTGGAGATGGGGAATCGAGCATCATACGAGGGCGACCACCACGGTCCACGACGGCTTGAATACAAAGGGGCTCATGACTGCACACCTTTAAAAGTGACCGAACCGGAATATGAGTGTGCGAATATTTGAACTTCCGGTGAACTTCCGGACGGCTTCGATCGAATAAAATACCTCGCTGGAAATATGTAATTATTTCTCGCTTTCAGGCATCAACTGGGTTCTACCGCGGGGCATGGGTGGTGGAAACATCGCTTGTGGTATCTGTGAGCTCGGCTTGGGGGGTGTTTGAGGGCCCAGGGGCGAAGGTGTATTTTCAGGCTTGTTTTATACAGAACTCCTGGAAACCGGTGTTCGTTATTCGGACCGTGCCGTGTATTTCTACCTAACTACCTACCTACCTACCTCGGGGAGTGGAAGTACGTATCGTAATCCATGCATCCCGGCGATCACAAAAAAAGCGCCGAACCTGGCACAATAACACCGCCGGAAGGATTCGAACCTGCTACTGCCTCTTGCACGCTGGAGATGGGTAACCGAGACCGAGCATCATAGGAAGGCGACCATCATGGTCTACGACGGCTTGAATACAGCAGAAAAGGGGGCCGGTAGCTGTATTCATTTCACAGGTGACCGAACCGGAATATGAGTGCGGATATTTTAATTGCTTCCGAGAAGGCTGAACAATCTGACCCCAGCTGTGGCGGATCAGGAATAAATTATAACACGACTAACCTCCTTTCCTCATCCCTCGCCACCGACACCAGAAGTTCCCGAACCACGGAATGAGATCAAGTACATCGCGGCACTAATGCGTCTCCAACTCTCCGGGGAAGGCCAGAGACGCGATCGTCTCCGTCACATACCGCAGATCCCACATCCTCGGGTCGTTCGGCAGCTCACTCGCAAGCCGCCCGAGCGTAGCAGCCACCCGCGACGTGCTGCGACGCAGGGGCACCGCGAACCAGTGCAGCCCGTCCCCAAGACTAAACACCATCACGTCCAGGCGCATCCGGCCCCCGCTGCGCGCCACCCGCGAAATGATGTCCCTCCACTCCACACCCGCGAAGTCCGTAGGCTCGGTGATATTAACCGATTGGGGGTGGATATTGACGACAGTGTTGGTGTAGTCGTAAAGCAGGAAGTACGGCTTGCCGGGGTAGGCCCGCCGAAAGAGTAACTCCTCCTGTACTAGGGTGATTTTCGCTTTTCGGTAGTCGTGGTCATGAGCGCGCGGAAAAAGCCTCGGTCGCGGGTTGGGGCGTGGAATTTACTCGCCTCGCCTGGGTGGGAAGCATCTCTCAGCGGAACTCGCGACACCGAGGATGGATTACTCACTGAGATACAGTGTTCCGTAGGATGCGCAGGCATCGCGATGACCGGCGTTCCAATCAGTGACTTGGCATGCTCTGCAGCAGTAGTAAAAACTGAGACAGCGAGAGCAACGCTCGAATGATGTTTTGGTCTGTATTTTAAGGCACTGAACAAATATAAGCCGACCATTCCGAAGATAGGTAGTAAGTTACCTGGAGATTATCACACGCCCGGAAGGAGGACGTTTCGACAGAGGAACGGGACTCCGGGATCTGGAGGCGTTGGCGTGCAAGGGAGTCGAAAGTGGCCCACTTTTCGTACGCTTCCGACCGTCGAAATGCATCTGTGTGGACGATGATGTACGAGGTGTTTCGGTAGGATGACGCCGGCCCAGTGGTTCATGCATTGCTGCAGACTTGGAGGAAGAGGGGCGGGTAGCTGCATACAGGTGGCTACGGCAGTAAGGACACCAGCTTTGAGGGCCATCTGGAGGCCCTGGTATCCGGGGGACTCGACGAGGATGATCGCCAGTAAGTTGAAGATTTGTCGAATGATTTCTGCAGTGCCGTCCATCGCAAGGGAGTCACCACCCTGAATCAAGGATCACGTTAAGGCGCAAATAGCATCCGTGAGAGCCCGAACGACGTTTTGTGAAATGAGCGCGATGCCAAAGGGTCCAAGACGGAGAGAAGATCCCTTCCTTTCGTCGTGCGAGGGGTCGATTGCTTTGAAAAATTCGAGTACACTGACCACGAACTGTACAGTAAGAAGATTCGTGAGAGCTGGAGATGTGGGCACCAGGAGAGAGAGGTACAGAGTGGCTACGCGAGCGAGCTCGTGCAGTGTGCCACCTACGCCTTCAATAATCTCTGCGAGATTACCGGGTTCGACGGCCTCTGGTGCCTGGATGAAGCCGGACAAATCGCCAAAGAGGATGTCGCGTTTCAGTGCGTCAACGGATAGAGTGAGATGAAGCCATATCTCGCCAAGCATGAACCAGAATCCGGGGGTGGACTTGATCAGGGTGTAGCTCGGCTCATCGTCGTCAAATGTTCCCGAGAACATCAATAGGTCGACAGAAAGCGGGCTCTCAGGCAGTCGGATTGGACTCAACCCCTGTAGATGACCGTGGAACAAATGGAAGAATTGGTACCATTCCCATACGGGGGGCCAGGTGTCAGTTCCGATACCGAGGGGAAAGTCGATGATGTAGAGGGATTGCAGGGAGCTCCACGCCCTTTCAATCGCGCTTTCGGTCACAGGCGACATTGTTTCGGGATCGAAGCCATGTTCGGCAGGAATGTCGTCGGGATTGAGGTTGAAGTAGAAGGCTGGAAGCATCCAGCGTTTCTGCTCGTCCGTTGATGTGGGGAGAAATGCACGTAACCGTCCCAAATCCTGTGCTGAACGCTCCGTCGAGCAAGCCGCCAACGATGCCCTCTGAAGGATAATTGAGTGGTTGATAAACGAAGACAAGTTTTACCTTCATGGCCGGGGGAAGACGGCTGAGATTGCTGAGCCGCAGCGCGGGGTGCATGATGGAAAGAGCAAAGGACGGAACTGATCGCGAGTTGACGCCGATCACTGGCAATACCTCCGAATCATTGTTGGTAACAGCTCCGACTCTTTTCCGAGTCTGCACCACAATCATGCCACATCATCGCACATGGTCCCAGACCCAAGCTGAGGGGCAAGCTCATTACACGGCGCTCATTTGGACGTGAAGCCGATGCTCTGTCTTCTCTCGGGCGACGGTTGAACTGGCTTCAGATCCCAACTGGCTCTGTCGCTCACGACACTCTACCGCGAGTTTTAGGTACGCTTTGGGTACTCTCCTGCCCAAGCTCCTGCCATTCTCCGGACATCTCGGGATCTTATTTCGACCTATCTCAACTGGTTTATAATAATCGGCGGTCAAGACTTAGGCGGCGAGCAATTGAAAGATCGATCAATCCTCGGCGGACTACTCGAACGCGTGGGGGATACTTTGTAAGCCGTCCTATATATTCAATGAGATGGGTTC